CTCCCCTGCCCCCCTGGAAGAGTGGGGCCAGGTTTCGGTTGCCAGGTGTCTGGTTTTCACTAAACTGAAAAGGGAAGCTGGCGGATGTTAAAAGGCTGGTTGGCCGCAGTAACCAGCCTCTGCCAGGGGGGCAGGAAGAGCGGCAGCAGTGGCTGGCTTCTGGCCCTGGCTCCAAGAGGTGGGATCGTGTCCCTCCACCACCGAGCCCGGATTGCCCCAGCCCTGGCCCCTCGCTCGGGGAACCAACCCCCCCTGTGCCCTGATGTCAGCTCCTCCCAGCCTGGCTCTGCAGCCAGCCGCTCAGTCCCGGGAGAGGAGCGGGCAGGGGCGGGGCCTCGGGGAAAGGGCGGGGCAGGGGCGGGGCAAGGTTGTTCAGTTTTCAGCCATTAGAAAGTTGGCGTGGGGGATGGGAGAGCACATGGGCAGGGCCACCAGGATACGGAGACCTGGACCCCACCCCCAGTATGTTTTGCCTCAGCTCCCACTCGTGGGTTTCTTGCTTCTCGATGAACCCCACCTCCGAATGCCCCCGGCGCCAACGAGCTGCAGCCCCTCCCACTGCACTCTCCCTCACAGGCGCTCAGGCAGGGCCGGCTTTAGGAAGTGCGGGACCCGATTCGAATAGTTTCAACGGGGCCTCAGCAGGGATGACTAAAAAAAAAAACCACGTAAAAACCACGTGGGGCTTGTACTCACCGGGCGGCACTCCTAGTCTTCGGCGACGGGTCCTTCACTCGCTCCGGGTCTTCAGCGGCACTGAAGGATCTGCCGCTGAAGTGCCGCCGAAGACCCGGAGCGCCGCCGGGTGAGTAAAAATTAAAAAGGAGCCTCTAGCCAGGGAAGGGATTCTCGGCCACTTCTTCCCCCCTGCCCCCGGGCGCGGGGCCCTCTTAGGCGCGGGGCCTGATTCGGGGGAATTGGTGGAATTGGCCTAAAGCCGGCCCTGCACTCAGGAAGGGGCAAGCAGAGATCTTCAACCAGGAGACACAGAGGCAGTAGCTCGCCCTGTGTAGGAGGGGATCAGGGGCTGCCAACTTTCTAATCACACAAAACTGAACACCCTTGCCCCATCCCCTGCCCCTTCTTCGAGGCCCCACCCCGCTGCTTCGCCAAGGCCCCGCCCCTGAGGCCCTGTCCCCACTCACTCCATCCCCCCTCCCTCGCTTGCTCGCTTTCCCCCGCCCTCACTCACTTTCACCGGGCTGGGGCAGGGGGTTGGAGTGAGGGCTTCGGCTGTGGGTGCGGGCTTTGTGGTGGGGCTGGGGATGAGAGGTTTGGGGTACAGGAGGGGGCTCCAGGCTGGAGCCGA